TAAATGTAAAAAGCAATAATCCTTCCCTGTGAGCACTTGTGACCACCTCTGGCAATGTGACTTTACTGGTTTTGTCAGGACATTGAGGCAAGTCAATTTATCTAAACGAACAGTATGTTCGTCTGGGCAAATAGCTGCCTAATCAGGTGGCAATTTGCTTAACTGGACAAATGACTTGCTTAGTTTTCTAATTAAAACTCATTTTAAGGCTTTTCCCACACTGTATCCACCAATCCTAAACTCTTATGTCATGAATTTTGCCCAATCCAAATTGGTTCTCTGCCTTGAGTGACCCACCTTAAACTATTTCAGAAAAAAAAAGAAAAAAAAAACACATTGTAAATACCCCTTTTTGACTTATCCCTTTTGAGACACTGCTAATATAAATACAAAACTTTTTTTTTTAGGATTTTTTGTCAGCTTTATTGAGGTATGATTTGCGTACAATAAAACTCACCAGTTAAAAAGTGCTAAATGTATACAGTCAGTAACACCACTACAATCATGACACAGAATGTGCCTATGAAAATACCTTCACGCTCCTTTGCAGTCAGTTTCCTTCACCCATCCTCAACCCCTGGCAACCTCATCTGTTTTCTATCATTATACTTTTGCCTTCTCTAGAACTTCATATAAATGGAATTATATAGCATATAATCTTTGTGCCTGGCCCTTTCATAAAATATAATACTTTTAATAGAAAATGTAGGAGAAAATCTTTGAGACCTAAAGCTAAGAAAAGAATTCCTGGACATAACACCAAAGCATGATTCATAAACGAAAATCAAAAAATATAAACAGGACTTCTTCAAAATAAAAAACTTTGACACTGTGAAAGACCCTGTCTAGAGAATGTAAAGGCAACCTAACAGACAAGAAAATATTTGCAAACCACATATCTGACAAAGGCCTTATATCCAGAGTATATAAATGAAACTCATAACTCAGTGGCAAAAAATAAAAACAAAAACAAAAACAATCTGATTAGAATGAGAAAAGACATTTCACCAAAGAAGAAATATAAGTGGAAAATAAGTAAATGAAAAGATGTTGGACACTGTTATCTATTAGGAAAATGTAAATTAAAACCACAAAAACTGTCATTATAAACAGAACAACGAAAATACAAAATAGTGATTATACAAAATATTGGTAAAGATGTGGACAAACTAGTTATCTCATACATTGTTGGTTGGAATGTAAAATAGTATGATCATTCCGGAAAATAGTTTGGTGGTTTAAAACCAAACATGCACTTATATAACCAAGCAATTACACTCTTGGGTATTTTTTGTGAGGGTTATTGCCATACATACTCACTGTTTAATTTCCAGTTCAAATGGTTTCTTGTATTTTAAATATCTCATGACCTCTGGAGCTACTCCCATCCGCTTTATAACCACTGGATTTATTTCCATTCTGGCACCTATCACAGTGCATCACAGAGAAATGAAACTTACAGTCACATAAAATCCTGTACGCAAATGATTATAGCAGATTTATTCATAATTGTAAAAAACTGGAAACAACCCAGATGTTCTTTAATGAGTGAATGGTATAAACTGATAAATTCATACCATGGAATACTACTCAACAATAAAAAGAAACAAACTATTGATAAAGGCAACAACCTGGATCGGTTTGAAGGACATTATGCTGAGTAAAAATAGTCAATGTCATACATATGGTATGATTCCATTTATACAATATTCTCAAAACAACAAAACGATAAAGATGGAGAACAGATTAATGGTTTCCAGGGGACAGAGATGGAGGAGGGTTGTGACTTTAAAGGAATGAGGGAATTCTTTGTGGTGACGGAACAGATCTGTATCTTGACTGTGGTGGTGGTTACAGGAATCTATGTATGAGATAAAATTGCACACATACACAGAAAATTGTACACACACGCACAGAGAAATGCGTGTAAAAAATGGATGGTAAAAACTGAATAAGGTCTGCACTCTTGTTATCTTATTGTATCAATGTCAATCTCCTAATTTTGATATTTACTACAGTTATATAAGATGTCATCATTGGAGGAGGTTATATGAAGAGTACATAGGGCTCTACGAGCTATTTTAGCAAATTCTTGTGAATCTCTAATAATGTCAAAATAGTTTAGTATAGCCACCAATCTTTGTAAAAACTTTTTCTATTGTACTTTACATGAAAGTTTACAGAGCAAACTAGTTTCTCATTAAACAATTAATACACATATTGTTTTGTGACATTGGTTGCCAACCCCACAACATGTCGACACTCTCCCCTTCTCGATCTTGGGTTCCCTGTTACCAGCTTTCCTGTCCCCTCCTACCTTCTAGTCCTTGCCCCTGGGCTGGTGTGCCCTTTTAGTCTCGTTTTGTTTTATGGGCCTGACTAATCTTTGGCTGAAGGATGTACCTCAGGAATGACTTCATTACTGAGCAGTAAGAGTGATTGGGGCCATACTCTTGGGGTTTCTCCTCACCACCAATCTTATCAGGGAAATCTTTAAGAAGTGGGAAGGTGTCAAGCCCATATCTGGGGATACAAGTTTTCAAAAAATTCTAATTTTCGTCTGGAAGCTCAAATTTTATCTTTGGCAGCAACCAATGTCAATTGTTTCCCTTGAAATGGGGGCTTATTTCTTTTATTTTCAAGAAAATATCTGCCAAACAGCCAAGTCTACTTTTCTGTCCGTCATGATTTAAAGTGAAAAATGGAGTACCAGGAAAAAGCTGATAGTTAAGTTTGCAACTCAAACAACTGTACCAGTGCTTTTCCTCAAGACAGCCATCATACTCAGTATACTTCAAATGTGCTTTATGTGTACTTCCCATTTTATCACACAGAATATTAAAAGATCTTGTAATGGTTAATTTTAGGTGTCATCTTGGCTAGGCTATGGTTCCCAGTAGCTATGGTTCCCACCTAATACTTAAGACTAGTTGCTGTTCCATAATGTAATCTACGTCAATGTAATGTAATTACTTTCCATAAAGTAATCTAATGTAATGTAATCAATCAGTTGAAAGGAGAGTTTCTTACAGTGTGGTCTGCCTCCAGGCTATAAATAGATATTTTGGCAGAATTCACTCTCTCCACTCTCCACTCTTCCTGTCACCTGACCTACAGATCTTGGAATGCCAGTCTGCAGAAATCTCCAGTGTGCCACCTGACCTGTGGATTTTGGACTTGGCAGCCTCCCCCACAATCATATGAGCCAATCCCTTGAAGTTGATCTCTTTCTACGGATATACATATATCTCATTGGGTCTAATTTTTGTGATTGGTTAAATAAATGATGCATGTTAAGTCCCTGGGTGATGCAAACGGTTAATGCTCTTGCTGCATACTGAAAGGTTGAAGGTTCAAATCCACCTGAGGTGCCTTGGAACACAGACCTGACAATCTACTTCCAAAAAATCAGCCATTGAAAACCCTATGGAAGAGAGTTCTCACTCTGACACACATGGATCCTCATAAGTTAGAATCGACTTGACAGAAACTGGAAAAATAAAAGAAAAATCCTTAGAAAAGTGCCTGGTACATGTTAAGGGTTAAATAAATATTAGCAAATAATATTAGTATCCTGGAGCTATGCATTACCTGGAACTCTTGGCGTCTTTCCCTGCACGTGATAGGGAGCAACAGAAGAGTTCTTTAAAAGCAGAAAATAGAGCTTCATAATTTCTTCTGGATCATTTCCATACAGTTTCACCATTCCAGAGCATGAGCAATTAGCCCTATGATGTTGCCACCACAAGATGGCAGTGCTCCTCTCTCCTAATACTCACCTTGGTTTAAAATCAGCCTGTTTGTATTCAAAGGAAAGATGGAGCTTTGATTAGCTCTGATTGGCTAAGCAAGAAACCTGAGGCTCTCTCTGGGAGGGCAGAAGGACTAGAGAAGAGGCTCTTTTGACTGAGAAGCTTGGCTCCATTTCAGAACCCAGAGCTGCGTCTTCTGTGAGCCCAATAAGGAGGAAGAATGGAGAAATTCCTGGGAGTGTCTTTGGTGATTCTATGGCTTCAACTGGCCAGTGAGTTGGGGGCTCTTGGTGATGGGAACACGGAGACCAAAGTTCAGAGTCCATAAGATGAGGAGTAAAGTCTTCCTGTTAATTTGGAAATGTACTTGAAGATTAGGGAAGGAAATGTAAACACTAGAGAGTGAAAATGCAATGACTGACTCCTGGTCTCTGCCTTGTGTTTCTGCCTAGGGGTGAACAGCCAAGTAGAACAGAATCCTGAGGCCCTGACCATCCAGGAGGGTGAAAATGCCACCATGAACTGCAGCTATAAAGCTAGTATAAACAACTTACAGTGGTATAGACAAGATTCAGGTAGAGGCCTTGTCCAATTAATTTTAATACATTCAAATGAGAAAGAGAAAACTAATGGAAGACTAAGAGCCACGCTAGATACCTCCACCAAAAGCAGCTTCCTGTTCATCACCGCTTCCCAGGCTGCAGACACTGCTGCTTACTTCTGTGCGATAGATACACGGTGCTTACCAGGCACCTGCAGCTCTTACACAAACTGCCAGAGCTGCTGCTTAGATCCCCTAACAGTGGGTAGAGTTGGTGGTTACCTCTTCCCGCAAAGGAGAGTCAACCAACAATTGGCAACATGAAAGGGGGTGCCCTCTTAAATCTGTGATTTTTTTTTTTAAAGTACCTTGGACTGTGGCAAAGGGCACTAGATTTGGAGTGAAAAACTAAAATGCCAGGTTCACTTCTGCCAATGCTGGACATACAACCATAGACACATCATAACCAGAAGTGAAGTATTTGGATTGATGAGCCCAAAAGATCCTTCCAACTCTAATTTTCTCAGCAAAAGAAATAAGCACTGGAGACTTGCTGAGGATGAGGAGGGACTGCTCAGTATTTTATGTGCAGCCCCTCAAGTCCTAGATGGATCTTTGAGATGTATGATATGATTCTTACATTCCTCTATAGGAAACAATATTAGAATTCATCAAGCATTGGAATTAGGAGGGATCTTAGGACTCTTTCAACCAAACTTTTCATTTTACAGCTGAAAGTGGAAACGTGTTGTGGAAAGAACCAGAAATCTGGAGCAATAGAGACAAAGATCTGAATCTGTTTATGCCACTTATTAATTGTATGACTTCCAAGCCTCAGTTTCTCCATTAGTAAAACGGGAACTTACAAGAAAGTCGTAATGTTCTCCCATGCAAGTGAGAGATGTATTTTCTCTATTACCAGATTCTGAAATATTTTTTTGAAAGTGGTTATTTCTATTATAAAACATGTAACAGTTTTCCATTCATTTATTTGCTTCTAGTTAGGTAAATAAATGCTGAATGTAGTTTCCTTGACACAGTTTTAATACTACTGAAAATGTTTTTGTGGAGAAAAATAGGGCTGTGCATGCTTGTGTAAACGTGGGAGAGGGCAGGGTAAAGACTGTATAAAGGCTGTGGTTCCCAAACACCAGAACTTGAACCATCAACATCACCTGTATCAGAATCATCTGGAAGACCTTTGAAGATCTAGATTATTAGACTCTATCTCAATTTACTCAATAGCCTCTGATGAAGTGTTCCAGGAATTTGTTTTTTAAATTTTTTTTATTGTTGTAGTTTAAGTGAAAGTTTACAATTCAAGTTAGTCTCTCATACAAAAATTTCTCCACACATTGTTATGTGACCCTAATTGCTCTCCCTGTACTGTGACAGCATACTCCTCCTTTCCACCCCTGATCTCCCATATCCATTCAACCAGCTGTTAAACCTCTCTGCCTTCTTATCTCACCTCTGGACAGAAAATGCTCGTTTAGACTCATGTATCAACTTGAAATAAGAAGCACATTCTTTATGAGTATCGTTTTATGGCCCACAGTCCAGTCCAATCTTTGTCTGGAGACTTGGCCTCGGGAATTGTTTCAGTTCTGTGTTGACAGAGAGTCCGGGGGCCATGCTTTCTGGGGTTCCTCCAGTCTGAGTCAGACCATTAAGTCTGGTCTTTTTACTAGAATTTGAGTTCTGTACCCCACCTTTCTCCTGCTCCATCAGGGACTCTCTATTGTGTTCCCCGCCAGGGCGGTCATTGTTGATAACCAGGCACCATCTGGTTCTTCTGGTCTCAGGCTGACATAGTCTCTTGTTTATGTGGCCCTTTCTGTCTCTTGGGCTAATACTTTCCTTGTGACTTTGGTGTTCTTCATTCTCCTTTACTCCGGGTGGTTGGGACCAACTGATGCGTCTTAGATGGCCACTTGCTAGCTTTTAAGACCCCAGACACCACTCACCAAAGTAGGATGCAGAACACTATCTTAATAAATTTTGTTATGCCAGTTGACCTAGATGTCCCCAAAAAGCATGGTCCCCAGATCCTCTTTCCAACTACTCTATTCATCAAAGTGTTTGATTGTATTCAGGAAACTTCTTAGCTTTGGATTAGTCCAGTTGTGCTGACTTCCCCTGTAGTGTGTCCTGTCCTTCCCTTCAGCTAAGATAATTCTTTTCTACTATCTAGTTAGTGAATAACCCTCACCCTCTCTCCCCACCCTCATAACCATCAAAGAATGTTTTCTTCTGTGTTTAAACCTTTTCTTGAGTTCTTATAATAGTGGT